AAAATAGATTATGGAATATTTTCTTTTACAATGATAAATAACATGTTTATGGCAAGGTGTTCATAGACTTAATCCTCCAACATTATTTCTAAAAACATTGTAACATGATGACTTTTATGTAAAACTATGTAAAGTATCAAATCATTGCAATTCCTGTACACAGAGGATAACCAAATGCTGGAAAACAGTTCAACTACTGAGAAAATATTGAGGATACAACTCTCAAATGCAAGAGGAAGATGCATTTCTGTCTCTAGAGGGCACTGCAGTTGTCACAAGAGAAGGAAAAAATATGGAGTGTATGTTATGGAAAAATGAAAATAAAAATTAAAAAAAAGAGAGAAGGAAAAAGGTTTCAGTTTCCCTTTTGTGTGTGGGCCTTTCAGGACCTTGTAGTTCCATTTGTAACAGAAAAGAAAATTTTAAAAAGTTATTTCAATTTGTTATTATTTTCTGAATAAACTGTACTTCTAATCAAACATGATACTTTTATGCCAAGCCAGTTTATGCACACTGCATTTTATGTTCCGAAAGTTACTAAGTGACTTTCGATCTGTAAAGAGTACTAATGTTGCATTTTTTCAATTTTTCTGAAAATTTCTGGTTTTTTCCCTTGGGGGCTAAAAACAAACTGAAAAAACCCCAAGTTTTTTCCATGGCTTCAAAATTTCTGGAAATTTGACATCTCTAGGCAGGTCAACCTCAGAAAGGCACCATTGCAAAATCCAAGGTGTGTTTCTGTGATCTCTAAGGTATCAGGATCAAAGCTAGGCGTAGCTACCTGTTTCCTCCCTGCCATCTCTAAGCAGACCCAACCTGTGGTCTCTACCAGTGAAGTGAATGGCTTCAAAGCTTTCATTTGGTACCCACACTGCTTGTAGGTGAGGTAACATCACTTGATTATTTGCTACTGCTAGACTGGTATGCTGTTGTGCTTAATAAACCAGTTTGGTCCGATCTGAACCCTGAAAAGAACTTTGGGCACCATGAACTGCTTCATGCGTAATAAGCCAGGAAGTCCCACAGAGAGAAGTAGCTGTGGCTAAGGAAGGAGCAGCCTAATTTTCCTGAACCCGCCTGCCCCAAGGTGTCAGGGCAGAGATGCCTCCATGTTCAATCTCTGCCAATCACCTTCTCTGTACAAAACACAATTTTTGGTGTTCAGTCTCACCAAATGTGGCACACAATTAAAAAAAATAAGACAAACTCATTGGGAGAGATCTGCTGACATCTATTATTCATGATGGCTGAATGGAACCTCCATGTTCAGAGGCAGTATGATGTAATGGTTAAGAGTGGCGGTGGCTACAAGCATGGACAGCTACAGAAGGTGGTGGTGCCTACAAACATGGACAGCTTTAAGAGGGAATTAGATAAGTATATGGAGCAGAAGTCCATCAGTGGCTATTAGCCACAAGGTATAGATAGGAGCTCTCAGGATGAGGCAAGTGATGCTCTGTATTCTTGGTGCATGGGGGGGGGCAACAGTGGGAGGGCTTCTAATGTACTGGCCCCACTGCTATACCTCCTGATGGCACCTGGTATTTTTGGCCACGGTGTGACAGACTGTTGGACTAGATGGGCCATTGGCCTGATCCAACATTGGCTTCTCTTATTTTCTTATGAGTGTCAGACTAGGATCTGGAAGATCCAGGTTTGAATCCCCACTCTGCCATGGAAGCTTGATATATGGGCCAGTCACTCTCAGCCACTTCGGATCTTGATAGGGGAGAAAAGCAGGGTATAAATATCCAAATAAATAAATAAAATATAAAAAAGGACATCTCTGATTGCTAATAGGGTGGGCAACAAAAGGGGGAAACAGTGACCTCCACATTCTAGATGAAGTCCTTCCGGAGGGATCTATTAGGCTGCTGTGAGAACAAGATGCTGGAATAAATGGGCCTTGCATCTGATCTAGCAGGCTCTTTGGATTACCATACTGCAATTCCTGTGCTTTCAAATTAACACCACCCCCTCCAGTCGAACACATAAAGTTGCCACATCTCACTATCTGATTTGATGGCAGGGGATGATTTTTCAAGCACATCAAATAGTTTGGGTGTAAAAGTTCTCAGCTTCCAAGCCTGGCACCTCTCCATCAAAAGGTTTTAGGGCTGGGAAGGCTTCTCCCTGGGACCTTGGAGAACTGTTTCTAGCTGCAGTAGGCCAGTATTTCCCCAAACGTCTCCAAGCTAAGATATCCAAGTTTGGGGAAATGCTGGCCTACTGCAGCTAGAAGCAGTTCTCCAAGGTGTATGTGTGTGTTTATATTTCTAAAGTAAAATGAGTATACGCTTCTTTTATATTTGAGAAGTTAACGTGTGAGAGTAACCATTTCCTGCCCTCAGAGGAGTTCCACTTCCCAAGGGTTTCCCTTTTGTCCTTGTTCTAAGTTGGACTCCTGTTTGGAACAAAGTGAGCCCAAAGCAGCAAGTCCAAAGGTGCAATGGGTATCCTCCTCAGAAGACAGATCATCCTGCGGCATCTCTACCTCAGAAATTATTTCCTCAGAAGGGGACAACTGGAAGGCTGAAATCATGCAGAGATGCAGATGATACACTCCTAACATTTCACAGCTGAAAACACGCAGCCTGACAGAATCACTGAACAGCCTCCAGCTAACCTATTGGTGAAGAATCTCTGCAAGCTGCATGTTGTATTCATTCAGGGTGTCCAAGCATGACCTGCTCTGTGCGGTGGCACAAGGAAGTGTTAGTAAACTGACTCCCACATTTTCCTTTTTTTAAAGCTTGTTGAACCTCCCAGCAGTTGTGTTATAGTGTTGTTACACATTTTTCACTTCTCCAAGAGGTGAAAAGTCCCAAGGATAGCACTTGCTCAGTTGCTTCCCTTTGAGTGAGAGTGTGCTGTTTTCACAATATTTGCTCTATTACAAATACAGTGGTAGAGCCTAGAGGCAAATAAACCCAGATTCAATTGGCACCTTAAGGCTGACTTAATTCATCCCGGCATAAACCTTAATGAGTCAATGCTCTCCATATAAAAACTTGTGCGGCAATAAATTTGGTTAGTCTTTAAGGTGCCAGTGGACTCTGGTTTTATTGTGTTGTTATGGACTAACATGACTGGAATTATCACATAAGTGTAACTGGAAGCAGAGAGGCATTCCGACATGTGGTTCTCTACTTCAGATCCCAAGAGAGCCCCCCTAGATTCCTCTGACAACTCACAGCTCTTGGTCTGCCCTAAACGCAACCCTGTTCACCCATCCCCGCTGCAACCTCTACTCAGCTGGGAGGGGCCACCTCCTCCAAACTCTATGGCTACTTCTACAGAGCCCTCAGGGGGACTATCTCCTAACAATTAGTGCCCACCGAGGAACATGAGCCCTTTTTTTCCTCATATGTTCTCATCAGACATATTGCTTTAAGCCACGTTCATAGAGAAAGATGAGACCCACTGACTACAGTCAGCCAGCAAACCCACAACATTATTCTTTTATTACAGGATAATCACACAGGTTCAGTGACATCTGACAGGTGGTGAAGGAGTTGTGGTGTAAGGAAGCAAAATCACTCCAGAGCACATACAAGGAATTTTTAAAAATGTCCCAAATCTTTCTCCCAAATAGGGAGAGTGATTTACTAGAGAGAGGCGATAGTTGGAGCACATGGGCTTTTTCTGCAGACAGGTATTCCCCACAGCACACAGGTCTGGAAATGTCAGGACTGGAGTAAACACTATTGGATTAGAAAAAAGACTGGTGTCCCATTCAATAAAAGACCACTCCTTTACACATAGGTGGATCTACACAAGAAAGAGGCAGTAGAATGGTCTCTGCTGCTCTGGAGGATAGGATATTGTGGATACTATTTTTAAACATTGGGGTTTTGTTAACTGTAAATAGTCTACAATGGTTGTGATTTTCAAAGGGAATGCTATCTTTAAAGTACTTTCCCACATATTTCATCATGAAACCTTATATAAGACTGAGAATAAAGGAAAAATATACTGAAAAAAGAGAGAAAGCAGAATTAGGTGGCCACTCCTGTGCGCTAGGCAGAATTACCAACCTAGTATTACAATGGAGTACAGAGCTCAGTTCCCCTGGTGAAAATAAATTCAGGTGGGCCGGCCTCCTCCCGGCTCCCCCTGCGTTCCTGAGTGCCAAATATGCTCCTTGCGCTTCCTCTCCCAGTGACCACGCTGGGGGACGAGGCACGAGGAGTGGCTTTGGCTCCAGCTGTCCCCCCCTGCGGTCCCCCCGCGAAAAGTTCCCCGGCCTCCTCCCGGCTGTTCCTGAGTGCCAAATATGCTCCTCGCGCGTCTCCCAGCGAGCGACCTTGTTGCTGGGAGACCCGAGGAGTGGTTTTGGCTCCAGCGGGGCCGGGGAGACCATATTTAAAGAGATTTGCCCGGTGGCGCCGCGCGCCCCGCTCCGCGGTCCGCCCGCGACAGGTTCCCCGGCCTCCTCCCGGCTCTCCCTGAGTTCCTAATATGCTCCTCGCGCCTCGTCTCCAATTCTACGCGGTGCAATCTGAAACCGTTACAGACAGTCTCTCCCATCACCCTTGAGGACTGCAGCACAATGGAGCGGTACGGCCCTGAGGAGGTACAAAGACCCGTGGCGGTTTAGAGCGCCCGCACGGCGCCGGTGGATGTCATTTGAATGCTCCTCCAGTGTTTAAAAATAAACGAACGAACACACGTAACGTAGCACTCACGCTAGATTAAGTCTTCATGGGTAGATTGTTTTGGGAGGAGGGAGCAAGTCGGGGAGTATTAAAAAAATAGACCCTGAATCCCGTAAGTGGTCCAGTCCGCTCCGTCAGTCTCTTCTGGGCGTTACCATTTCATTCTCCTGCACGGGTAGGCTCGGGGACTGCCCATCGAGGATTGTTTCCCCCGCCTTAGCGGAGAGGGCCTGGCTCGCCGAGTCCTCCACGGCAGGTGGCGCTGCGGGAAGCGCATGCGGAGCTTCCGCTCTCCTTAAAGGAAATCTCGCGCGCTTTTGACGTTCTTTCCCACCCACGTGAGCAGAGTGTAACAAGAAAAAAGGTTACATTGTGGCAGCGAGGGAACGGCGCGCGCCGGGGAGGGGGTCGAGGGCCACCTGCCCGCCGCACGTGTGAAAAGGGGCGGCGGCGGCGGCACCCGTGTGTGGCGAAGGATAGCTCGTTGCTAAAGCCGGATCCGCATCCTGCCGCGACTCGCATCCCTGTGCCCCCTTCCGCTGCTTGGCGTACCGGCTCTGGTTGGGCCCCCTCCAACAAGGCCGGCCGAGCCCATGGCCGGCGGAGGGTGGCCGGTGCCCGGCGGCGATTTCTTGTCCCCTCGGCCGCCGCCTTCTTCCCAGCTGGAGCAGCCTGGGCAGGCGGCTGTGGCTTCCGCGGCGGCACAGCCCGATCTGGACCAGTGGCGGCAGTACCAGGAGAGCGACCGGCACTGGGCGCTGCGCAAGCAGTTCGTTCTTCGCAATCTGCCGGACTACCCGGGCGAGAGAATCGAGAGGCTGCTGTCGTTCTCCCAGGTCTGGACCAACCACATCTTCATGGGATGCAGGTGAGAGGAGACGCCAATCCGCACAATTAAAAAATCATTCATACATACCAGATCAGGGGCCTGCCTTCGGTCGTGTGTGTGGGTGGATATGTCCGGATTGAGCAGAATGGAAAAAACGCCAGATGATCTATAGTGAGAGGGAGACCCTCTTCCCTCACTGAACTTTGATCAGTTCCTTCGTTTTATTTCCTCTTCTCTCGCTGCTGTTTTCAGTAGTCACAGAATTCTGTTTCCTTACCACTCTGGTTTAATGAACAATAGTTCATATCTGGCAAGATCCTGCACAGTGAATAAGATACCTGGGTCTTGGACAGAGCTTTATTCGAGCCAAAGGAAGTCCCCCCCCCTGCAACCCCCCCCCGCAACAACTTGTTGTCAGTGTTTCACCTCATTAAACACAAGAAGTAAAACTCCAACTAGATGGTGGGTCTCTGACTCTCTGTTGTGAAAAGCCACACAAAATGATGATAGGATCAGACAATAATTGCAAGGCAGACTTTTAAAGCTAAACACATTTAGCTGAATTTCAAAACAAAAAAAATCAAAATTCAGGTGTGTTTAAGGTCTGTAGAGCCCTTCTTTGTGAAAATTACCCTGCTGTATCACCATCAAGATGTTATAAGAGTTCATTTAAAGTACAATATAAACAATAGCAGCACTACAAGAATAATGATATACAATGAATATTTAAATAAGTTTCAAAAAAGATACAAGTCTATCAGTCAGGATGGACAAATACTTTTGCCTGAAGCATGAAGTAACAGTTGAAAAAGTTAAGATAATTGATTGATAGTCTCTGAGTACCTAGTACAGGAGTAAAGTGTACTACTGATCACTGCCATGCAGGCTGCTTTCCTGGCCTTGTGACCCTGCCATGGATCATCTCCATGTGATAAGGTTGGAGTATAGAGCAGAATATTTTGGCAGGAGGATCTTTACAATAAGGCCATTTCCAGATAACTGCAATAATGGAGACCAGTATCCCATAGCTGCTTGGGTGCGGCTTGCCTTTGCAAGGTTCTTCTCACTCAAAATGGATTGGGGGGGGGGAATCAGATTTTTTTGAACAGAAACATTGGAAATATAAGGGGAGCACTGGAAAAAAAAAACCTCATAGGGAATATCATCTCTTTTAGTTGGGTGAAATGATTCTTAAAACAACATTTTTCTTGCTTAAAATATATAGTATGAGAAAAGTTCAAATTCCCCAAATATTTCTAATGGAAAAATGGGGAAACCTGGGGGAATGTTAAAAAGAATGCCTCCCCCCCCTTTTTTTGGCATGAATGAAATGAAAGACAAGTTTATTACTCAAAATGTGTAGCAGGATGATTTTATGTAAGATAATCTACAGCATTAGATAATGATAATACTTTGTATAAACATAAAAACATTTAAGATTTTTTGATTAAATGTAAACAATTATGTAGCAAATAGTATGCTATATTGTGTTTAATAATAATAAATTGTTAAAGAGTCCAGTGCTTTCAGTATTATGATGTTTTAAACTTAATATCCAAATGTGTTGGTAGGCCTATTGTACTTTTATGACAGTGTTCTTGCCCAAATAATACACTTTCTTTTGTTTGTTCCAGAATATGACTTCTGCCTTCAACTTTTATTTTTCCCTACCTATCAAATGGAAAAAAAAATCAAGATTTATGTGCTGTAGTATCATAGGATGTAGCAGTTTGCAACTCTCTATTAAGTACTGAGTATAGCTGCAGTTTTTCTTATGTAAAATGAAGACATTTCTACTGTTAAATTCCATAAATATGCCAAATAAGACAATGGTATGCTATCCAAGTTGTAAGTTAAGCATTTATGTCATTACATCAGTAGAAGAAGTTTAGGTTTGAGAGGGAAGGAAGTCTTCCCCCACAACCCTCCCATCAGGAAGAAAATGGGCTGTTTCTTCAAAATGTCTGGAAACTTTACTTCTCTAGTAAGGACTGCAGAAGGCAGGGCCATAGCCAGGATTTTTGGTTTTGTGGGGCAGATTTTTTTCTTGAGGGGCACCCATTATGCGTATACTTTAAAATAATAAATAACTGGAGATTTGGGGAGTGGAGCCTGAGGAGTATTGGGTTTGGGGAGGGGAGGGACTTCAATGAGATATAATGCCATAGAATCCACCTGGAGATCAGATGTAATGCCAGAGGATCTCCAGCCACCGCCTGGAGATTGGCAACCCCAGGCGAGAGATTGGCTTTTTTCACCCCCCCCCCCTTTCAGCAGTTAAACCCAACAGCTGATCCCTGGGGAGTGAAACTGACCAGAAGCTGAAGTAGCTTCCCTTTCTTTCCCCAGCCTCACCCCCCACTGCAGGTCTAGGCACACTGGGGGTGGGGGTTTCTGGCATCATCAGGTGGTGGGGCAGGAGTCATGGGTGGTGGGGCTCCACCCCCAAACGCCCCACCATGGCTGTGGAAGAAGGTCCACCAGGTAGTTCACCTGTATCAGCTCCCTTGTGAACAGAATCATGCAAAGCACTCTCTTTAACTGTTGAGCAGCAAGAAGCTTTGTCAGACTCCTTCTAATGGAGTTTGAGATGGCAGAGGGCTCTTTGATTCTCCTTCTCATCTGTGTCAACAGCAATTGAGATTTTCCAGTTCATCATTCTTTTCTGATTCCTGATTGCTAGGGATATATGAGCGAGCTCAACAGAGTCTTTCCTGCCGCTACTGAAAGAGCCCTTTTCTTTGTATTTATTTTTTGAGCTAATTTCTGTGCCGCATTTCTGAGGCTCAGAGTGGCTCACAGCGGTATATGTATAAAACACCCAAAGATAAAATCAGCAGTAAAAACAGTGCAGCAAGAATCAATTGTAGTGTCTTACAATAACATAGGGACACTCGGTTGCCCAGCCCAGAAGCTAGGCTAAAGAGATATGGGTTGGATCCTGAGTTGTTTTCCCCTTGGTGTTTCAGCAGTTCCATCAGCAGAATGGCATTGCTGTTGGTGGAGGAGGGGAGGGCAACTTTCATTGGTTGCTGGCTTCTGCCACAGAACACACACACACCCCAGTTTCCCCCATAGTATTCCTCGTGGGCCTACTGACCTGCAGGAGCGCAGTTTGGAAGGGACAGGAGCCTGCAGTGGGCTGGGGGAACCTGGAGACATTGCCTTCATCTAGTGCAACTCTGCTCATACTACTTAGAATCCAAGCTGGTGTCTTTATATCCCTCTGAAAAGTAAGCATTAATTTCTTGAGGCCACTCCTTTCAGAGCCTGTTGTGTTCAACTGTTGTGAAGTCCACATTTACTGCTGGGAAATATCTTCACTTGCTTGAAGATGGAACACGTTTAGGGGGCTTGTGAGCTGATATAAGAAGAGACCGCCCCTACAGTATGTGGGGCCCAGGCTGGGAAGGGCTTTAAAGCAAATATCAGCGCCTTGAATTGGGCCATGGAAGCACACAAGCAGTTAATAGTTGATATAACACAGGCTGGACATATTCCTGTCTTCCAGTGTCCTCAAGGATACATAGGGTTCCCAAGTACTTACCGCGATCCGGTGGGGGACACATGCTCCCCGGCCGGAACATTCCTCCCTGTAACGCACCATGCCGTCGCCAGGAAGTGACGCTGGGCGACGCTCTGACAATGGGCCCCATTGCCAGAGCGTCGCCCGGTGTCACTTCCTGGTGACGGCATGGTGCGGCGCGTCTGTTATCCGTGCGGGAATGGTCTTGGGAAGACGTATGTGTCCCCCACTGAATCACGGTAAGTACTTGGTAAGCCTGAGGAGACACATAGTTTTGTTCTATACTGGCAGAAGTTACTCTTCAAGGGCAGCACCAAGTGTTACAGTAATCAGTCATAAAGTGTCCAAAGGCAAAGATCAATTTTTTGCAAAATCCCCTCTCTCTTGGAAGGGACAGTCTGCATAACAAACACCTGTCAGAGGGTTTACCCACTGGCTTGAAACACACCATCTTTTCAGCTGCTAGTCTGCAAAACAGATGTGGTTGCTTGGTTTTTTACATACATGGAGAATTTTACTGAACTTCTTTAGTTGCTATGTGACATATATTCAGTGGAATTCTTTTTACAGGGCTGCAGCTTTCGTTGGTAGATCAATCAACTAAAGCATTTTAAGTGATTAACTGGCAAGGGCTGAAAGTAATTGTTGAGGCTTCCGGTAAAAGATACAGTTGTTTGGGGTTTTTAAAGGCCAAAAAACCCCATCAGAAATGAAAAGGAAGGAAAAGCTGTCAATTTCTTAACTAGATAAAAGTTTGATAGTCCAGTGGCACCTTTAAGAACAACAGAGTTTTATTCAAGGTATCAGCTTTCATGTGCAAGCACACTTCTTCAGATACAGTGGAACAGAATTTCCACAGCCATTACATATAGGAAGAAAGAGGGTGGGATGGGGGGTTAGTTTCCAGGAAGGGCCAGTTAGAGTCAAGACAGAGATAGAAACAAAAATGGAAATTACCAGTCCATACATATAGATAGAGGGTGAGCAGTAAATTATCATACAACATAATGAAGATGTTTAACAGATTTAAGGATCAAACAGGGATAATAAGCTTAGTTTATGTTGTTACCATTTGTTTGGGTTCAGTTCGGGGGGGGGAATAAATGTCAAAGTATTGGAGATTGTTTCAGTTTAGTTTATTGTAATTGGTCATGGGTCGTTACAAGGTTACAAAATACAAATTGTGAACAAACTATAAGTTAATATCAGAAAATACAAAAGTACCAAAAATCAATAATAAAATATGACTAATTTAATACAGTAGCCTGAATAATGCGCCTTCCTGTTGCCACATTGGAATGTATGTTCTTTGTACTGGGGATTGATGTATCCTTACTTGTGGAATACTGAGAGTAATTAATTGAGATCCTGCCATCCATCTCCTCTCAAGCATGGAGGTGACTTTACAGCATCTTCTTGTTTGAAGTGGGGAGATTGGCTGTGTAGCTTTATCTCCCCAGACCACAGAAATACATTCCAATTTCTACTATTCATTATGTTACATTACAATCTATTGTTCTAATCTATTATTCCAAATAAGCAAAAATAAAATGGCCCTTCTGGGGGATTGGTGAGAATACAGATGTAAGGGCTGAATGAGGTTAGCATAAGTAGTAAGATAAGAAACCAATATCCCTATTAAGTCCTGGTGATTTCATTGTTCTGAGTGTTGTAATAACTTGGAACTCAACAATTTCCCTTTCTAGTCTGTTCCTGAACTTCCTTTGCAATAAAACAGCTACTTCGAGGTCACCCATTGAATGTCCTGGAAGATTAAAGTGTTCTCTTACATGTTTCTCAGTCTTGTGATTCCTGATGTCAGATTTGTGTCCATTTATCATTTCTTAACCACCAATTTCTAACAGTCAATAGTAGCTTTTCTTTATTAAATTGCAAGTTTGGTCTCTCACTGTGTCAAAAAGATATCTATATTATAGTTTTGATAATATGCAAATATGTCTAAATTGAATCCATAGCTAAAGCAGTGATTAAATCAATATATCTTTTTTTATTTAAAAAAAAAGGTTGATAGCCTTATTTTTCAGCTATCATTTCATGATGGAGTAAGAGTGGTTTGAGCTCAGTGTATGTGTCTTGTCTTGATAGAGAGATAAGATGTGAACGTCTTCCTTACTTATTTCTAGGCATTTGTATATATCTATATTAATTTATCTCCTGCCAACCTAGCAGTTCGAAAGCAAGAAATTGCAAGTAGATAAATAGGTACCACTTCAATGGGAAGGTAACAGGGTTCCGTGCGCCTTGGTGTTTAGTCATGCCGGCCACATGACCACGGAAACGTCTTTGGACAGCGCTGGCTCTTCGGCTTTGAAACGGAGATGAGCACCGCAACCCTAGAGTCGGATTCGACTGGCTTTCGAGCAAGGGGACCTTTACCTATATTAATTTATACCTTGTTTGTTCACTGTTTTACTACTACACCAATTTTTTTTTATTTTACTGGAGAGGAATGTCACCTGTAATAAAAGATTTCTCCCTTCAAAGCTAAGCATTTTGCCTCTTAGATAGTTCACGCTCCAGAATCCTGGGACCATTTTCATAATTTAAAAAGGGTCCCAGGCTGTGTTCCCTCTAAGCTGAGTTAGAGTGAGCTAGCTCACAGTTTTTTATCCTCCAGCTCACACATTTTTGTCTCAGCTCAGGAAGGATGGCTCCAGAGCAAACTAATTAATGCAGGAGCCAAATGGCTTGCTCACGACTTTAATGCCAGTAGCTCACAAAGTAGAATTTTTGCTCACAAGACTCCACAGCTTAGAGGGAACATTGGTCCCAGGGTATGGTATGATTGGAAAACACATGATGCAGCAACTTTGCTGAAGCTCAGCAAACTGACGGCTAATCAGTGCCTGGATGGGAGACCTCCTGGGAATCCTATGAAAGCCTTCTTGAGTGCCATGATGGTAGAAGAAAGGCAGGATATCTGTGCAGTGAATCAGTCAGTACACAGACTAAATGAGAATGGATTGCTGTGCTAACCTTGGACTCTTCCCATTCCTTGAGTAGTACTACTGTAGGATTTTTGTGCAATGGACCACTAGCCTTCCCTTACTGCCAAATACAGTGTTGCTACTAGAATGACAGGATTGAGATGTAGACAGTATAAAGTTTAAACTGAACCAGCAGGTTTAAGGACAGTTTGCATAGAGCACAAGTGTCCATGCTGTGGGTCAGGGGACCCCTGAACCCAGACACACACACCCAGCCCCCGTTCCCCTCCCCCTCCTGGAGTGCCTCTGCGGACCTCACCGGTACCCTCCTGCCTTCCCTGTGTGTGGAGCCTCCGTTTCCATTTTGCAGATCCTAGTAGGCGCTTGCAGCAGGAAGCTCGAGTGACTGGCACCCCCCCCCCCCCCCCTTCTGCATGTCCGTATCAGGCCAGCAGCAGACAAAAAATGGGGCAGACCCCAGTCCGACACACATTTCTCAGTATAGCTCTTAGTCTAAAAAGTTTCGATGCCTCTAAACCTTTTCAGGCTTTGATATTCAGAAGACACCCACAGTCGCCTACCTCCCTGGATCTTATTATTAATGTATTATCCGGTATTATATCCTTGCTTTCCTCCAAGTATCTAAGGGTGGCATATATGGAGTTCATCCTCGCAGCAACCCTGTGGGGTAGGTCAAAGAGTTTTTTGTTCCAGCCCACTCACCAGGCTTCTATCAGGACACCCTGGTGTTAACTGAGCATTTTTCAGTTAAGGGAGCCTCCAATGGGAAATAGCTGAATTAGAGTTCATCAGTAGGTTTAGGAATAGACTCAACAGGTCTCACAGTTTTCTTCATTTCTATAGGTGTGAAACTGTTTTACATAATTAAAGAGGCTGTTATCACCCTTTCCAGTAGTTCTGAATGAGTGCTGCGCTTACTGTTTTGCATGCTGAGTGTAGAAATGTCACAAACTAGGGGTTGGCTCTGGACTACCCATTTGTGTGTCTGTGTGCATGTGCCCATGTCTGAAGAAGAAGATTGGATTTATACCCCGCCCTTCACTACCCAAAGGTGTCTCAGAGGGGCTTACAAACTCCTTTCCCTTCCCCTCCCCACAACAGCCACCCTGTGAGGTAGGTGGGGCTGAGAGAGCTCTGACAGTAACTGCTCTTTTTTCAAGAACAGCTCTTATCAGAACTATGGCTTGCCCAAGGTCATCCAGCCAGGTGCAAGTGGAGGAGTGGGGAATCAAACCCGGTTTCATGGGATGATATTCTGTGGATTTGGATTTACCAAACTCAACAGATCAGCTTGCTGCTTCAGATCCAAAGAACCCTGACTGTAGTTCTGTGCAAAGGACCCCACAAGGCCTCTTTTGAAAACCAGAGTTTAAACAGCAGGTTATAACACAGCATGTGTGGGGAAGAGGGCAGGTATTTGAAGCCAAAGCAGGTGTTTGGAGCCCAGCCATCTGAACTAGGAGCCAATTGCTAGTTACATGAAATCACTGGAGACTCTAACCTACAGCCCTCAGAAGTGTAAATGGGAGCTCCAAAACTACGGTCCCTGTATGGATTTGCTATTTTGAGGCACTATGATGCCTTTGTATGTATTACGGTCTACATCCAGCTGTAAAGCCTAATGAAGGCAGGATGGTATTCCCCAACAGCAGACTGAAGCGTCTTCTGTTTTAAATTCAGATATGGCTCTCAAGTTATGGAGAAAGTCCTCCAGATGGCCGAAGGGATTGACATTGGCGAGATGCCATCATTCGAGTTGGTGCCCAGCACTAAGGCGACAAAAAGGCCACACTCACCTGTTGAAGACTCTCCTCGCAGTGAGTATATCGGTCTTCCTGTTCCAAACAGAGGCAGTGCTGTATTGCTTGCAGCTACAATGGAGCTATGCACACCTCCTTCCCTCCTGCCACTGCTTCTCTGGTGCAAGACTGTACTCCTCAGGATCTGCCAAGCCAAACAACTGGCAGGTCCAAAAGAAACAGGCAGAGAATCAGTCTGTGTGTTCAGCTTCCTGCTAAGGCAACCCAGAGGTCAGGATGCACTTCCACATCAAGCAGGGTGCACATTTTCTGTCTGCGTTTCCCATGTGATCTTTTACGGGCCAGAAAGCTGCAGTCCTTGCCTGATGAATGCTGTTCTTTTGTTTTTCTCTAGAGCTGCACATGCGGCCAGACCAGTGCTACTTTGCAACACACACCTGCACTGGTCCAGCTACATCTGTGGCTCTGTTTTGCCCTCTTCAGCAGTCCCTTTAAGGATAAAAAAAAGGGAGTGCGTGCAACATGTATAGCAGGATTAGGCAACCCCTGGCACATGTGCCAAACAGTGATACACAGACCATTTTGCTCAGCACACAGGGCCAGTTTTCCACCCAAGCAACTGTGGTGAATCTGGGGTAGGCTAGGGGCATTGGCTCCTTCCCCCAAGCAGCCAACACATTATAAGGCTGTGCCGTGTGAACGGTGGCTTCCCTTGATTCAGATACACAGGTGTGGGATAGACAGCTTCAGCCCCACCACAGCTAGCAGGAGTGGGAGGCTAGGGCCCAGGAGACTCAAAGCGGTCAACAGCCCTCTTGGGCAGAGTTATATTGATTAAACGGCATCAGCGGGGAGGACTCCAGCAAAATGGGAGGTCGTTTCTCCTGGGCAGGAGGCAGCAATGTAACCCTCACCACAAGCCTCCATGGATTACAAGCTCAGCTAGCCAAAGGTATCTGCAGCAGATATAGTTGAAAAGTGACAGCTTCAACCAGTTCCCTCTGGTTTACTTCCTGAACAGGAACATCACCTGTCACCGTGGAGACTGGGGGCAGGGCATAAGCACCATCCATAGCTACAAACTTCCCGATATCCAGTTAACTGATACTGTGCTTGCCATTTTACCAAAGTTGTGTCCACTTCATCTCCCAAAACTTAAGGGCATCAGCTGAGTCAGCAGAGACAACTTTTAAAAAATGCTGTTCTCTTTGACCAACTGCAGAGCAGAGTATGTTCAGTTTACCACCACTGTGTTGTCTAAACAAGCATAGCAATCTGACTTGCATTTGAGTTGAATGTAGGCAATAAATGGGCAGAGTTTTGCCATTCCTTATCTCCCAGACTGATGCATCAGCATTAGGGGAGGGGGTGGCTGTGGTGGCAGTCTTAATCTTACCATCATGTGAACATGGCATAAGTACAGACATTAAAGGCAGAGGTAAGGAGCAAAGTTAGTTTCACATGCTTTCCATATTAAGCCAGGCTGCATGTATTCCAGTCCATAGGTTCACCACACAAACATGGAATGTATCATCTTGAATCTGCCTTTTAATTCCACCCTTACCTAAGTTTCTAGTCCTTGCGGCTGTACACAATGCAAGTTTTCTCTTAATGTTGTGAACTTACATTCCATAGGTTCTGAGCCTCCAAGAAAGCAACCTCCCAAATTCCGTGTCAGACCTCGTTTTGAGCCCATACATTTTGTAGCCAGCAATACAAAAGATGGAGGAAAGGAACAGCCTTCCGAAAACCAAACACAGGATGTCAGTGAGAATATCACAACAACCCAGCAGATACAAAACTACGCAGATCGGGTCTTCAGCAGCTTCAGTACGCAGGATGGGGATTCCCAGTTTTCCAGTTCAGTGGGTTTAGGCTACGCCAGTGGCCAAGCGAACCAAGTAGGAGCCAACGTGGTTTCCAACAGCAAAGACACTTCTGCAAATGCTGGTGCCGCGGCTTCAGCCACTCCCTCTGTTCTCCAATCCACCTCTGAAACGTTCCCCAAGTCAGTTATAACAGCCAAGCAGTGTTTTATTAACAAACTTGTAGCAGCCGTGCGTAAGAACCTTGCACATCCCAACTGGCCCGATAAAATGAACTACACTTACCTTTTGACGCGATCCATACAGGCTTGCAAGACAAATCCTGAGTATATTTATTCTCCCTTGAAAGAAATTTCTCCTGGTGATCTCCCCAAGAACAAGAACAAGAAAGAAGGTTTTGCATGTGAGGTGAGGTGTCAGAATGTTTATTTGACCACAGGGTATGCTGGGAGCAAAAACGGTTCCAGGGACCGAGCTACAGAACTAGCAGTAATACTGCTGCAGAAGTCTGTGGAAGTCAAAGTAGCGCAGCGGAAGTTCAAGAACACTACCCGTGAGGATTTAGTGCTGTGTGAGAGTGGCACGTCACCAGAATTCCCACCGGCTCTCAAGCAGTTGGATGACTTTATTGCTGCCATGAAAGAATGCGTGCCTGGGCAGCCAAATTCTGATCCACAACAGGGCCCCAGTTCAGCTAAACATTGGACTAACTTTGTCCTCACGGAAAATGCCAGTGATGCTATCGGGATACTGAACAACTCAGCCTCCTTTAACAAAATGACCATTGAATACAAGTATACCTTAATGCCCAACCGCCAGTGGCGCTGCAAAGTCTATTTGCAGGACCACTTTTTAGCTGAAGGTTATGGCACCAAGAAGACCAGCAAGCATGCTGCTGCAGATGAGGCCCTAAAAATTCTTCAGAAGACTCAGTCTAATGCAGGAGCCACCAAGACCGTCCAGGTTCAGAAAGTAGGCAGTGCTGGACGGGATCCTGGGAAGAAGAAAGATCTGAAGGATCTTGTTGTTTATGAAAACTCTATGAATCCTGTTTGTACGCTGAATGACACAGCTCAATTCAACAAGATGACTGTGGAGTATGTCTTTGAAAGGATGACAGGGATGCGGTGGAAATGCAAGGTGATGCTTGAGAATGAATTAATTGCTGAAGCAATTGGAGTTAAGAAGACTGTCAAGCACATGGCAGCAGAGGAAGCCGTGAAAGTCCTCAAAAAGACCCAGCCGACTGTTGTAAACAACCTGAAAAAAGGCACCATTGAAGATGTAATTTCAAGGAATGAGATCTGTGGTCGCTCTGCAGAAGAAGCTTTGAAACAGCAGATCAAGGAAGACAACATAGGGAATCAGATTTTAAGGAAAATGGGCTGGACGGGTGGTGGCTTGGGCAAAAGTGGGGAAGGGATTCGGGAGCCGATTGCAGTGAAGGAGCAGTTCAAAAGAGAAGGACTCGGGCTTGATGTTGAAAGGGGGTCAAAAATTACCAAGAAAGATATTGAGCAGATCATCCAGAATTATGCCTTCTCAGACAGTAAGATTGACCTGACTTTCTCCACAGAACTGACCAATGATGAGCGCAAGCAAATACATCAAATAGCCCAAAAATATGGTCTTAAGAGTAAATCCCATGGCCAGGGCCGAGACAGGTATTTGGTGGTTAGCCGAAAGAGGCGCAAAGAAGACTTGTTAGACCAGCTAAAGCAAGATGGTCAAGTTGGCCATTATGAACTCATCATGCCCCAGGATAAATAAGGTCTAAGCATCATGTATTTCTTTGGGGGATGTCCAAATTCCCCATTAAACCGAAAGAAGGCTGCATATGGTTGTGGGCTGGATTTTTTAAAAAAGTTTTATTTGTGCATTTAATTTCTGAAACATAATTAGAAAAAGGTTAGAACTTTAAAGTCTGTCCAAACATACTTAGTGCAGTCCAGATAACATTAGTGCAATTAACTGTTGTATGATGTGTTGGAAATGATCTGTTCCCTTCATATTTTACTAGTTTTGTAATGATAGCAACAACACGTCCAGCCAGAGGGGAATTTCACACCATTTTTTTGGAACAGGATAATTTCCTTGTCTTTTTATTTTACCTTTTTAAAAATAAAGTTTTAAAAAATGAAAAGAGATGGCAGTATGAAGAAAAATTATATGTAAAGTTGGTATTAATAAATAGAATTTTATTTCTGGACATGCAAAGGGCAGGTTTTTTACTTAAATTTTTGGTTCAGTCAAGAGGTAAAAATGTTTTTAGCATATTCAAAAGGCAACATTGTTAAAATATTAGTGTTGGTTGATGCAGTTTACACAACACTGCATTCTGCACTTGCACCACCCGAGACCTGAAACTGGCAGAAAGCACAGAATCAGTAAGCCAGAGAACTTCAGCTTTTATCTTTCAAAATCCAACTTCAAAAGCCAGCCAAAGTTAAGTAGTGCTGTGGTGAAGACTGCAACTGACATCCTGTTGGTTTCAGTGGAAGATATACCTACCTATCCCAATGAAATCAGTGGGCCTTAAATGTGACTGCCTCAGACCCCAAGTTTCTAGCTCTCAGGGCTGTAAACAGGTTTTAATGTTTGCGAGCTGTATCCTGTGAAGGACAGGGGAAGGGGAACAAAATAAGCAAGCACAAGCAAGTGTGCATCCTTGGCATAATTTATACCAGATCCAGAATCCCTGATACTTTGGCATGAAGTAGTCTTGTTGTCTGTATGTAGTACAGAACATGCACAACTCTGGCTTTTTGTTTATCATCAGGTGTCTGCTTTCTAAAATAAATGAATGCACTTCAATCATCTTGATGGTAAGATTCAACTTGAGCAGAGTTCTTCACATACCCTGTTAACCAGTGAAGTATTAAAAGTCAACCCTTATTTTTAGTCACTCTTGGGGTGGGTGGGGTGTTTGCTTGTTTCTCTACGTAGCCTCCAATGACTTGTTTTCTTATGCTTCCTTTGTGTACATGTGCTTGTATATCTCATGGGGAGAGTAACAAGTAAAAGGTTCTCTCTTGTTACTTGTAGCATGTGTGGTTTGAGTGTGGAGTATTCTCTGATTTCTCAGTTTTGATGTAAATAATTTTTTCTTGTTCAAAACTAGACCTTTGAGAGGTGGTTCTTGCAAGCATAGGAACCTTTAAGGAAAAATGAGCTTGTTCAGAGTGCAAGGAACTATATGTGCACCCTCTAATTTTAGTGCTTCCACTTCATCCTATGCTTACTTTGTCCTATTGGGTACAATCCATTATTTTTGTAACCAGGAACCAAAGAAATTGTCTCATATGATGGTAGACCCTCTAGCTCAGAATTTTCTACTCTGGTTAATAGTGGCTGTCATTAAGAGAAGAACTGTTCCTAACCCATGCTGTCTGATATCACTGAACTGGAAGCTGAATCTGGGACCCTCTGCATGCTCGATCACCGAGTTATAGCAGACAACAGGACTAATCAAACATTAATGATAAGTTGGCATAGATTCATTATGGATAAAGACCATTCTGAAGAATAAAATGCCACCTGTTGTATTTGAGAGAAGGGAAAAATACCTCTTCAACAGTGGTGTCTATTGACTGCATCTTATGTACGTATGTGTCACAAAGAATATATATGATTGCCCAATTAGTGTGAGAAAGCTTAACTAGTTACTTCAGGTGCTGCACTGAAGTAGTAGTATCCAGTGGTCCATAATCCTAAATTTAGATTTATGAGAGCTACTTAAATGGGTAGTTTATAGCACAGTTCACTACTGCTTTCATTAGCTGCGAGAACTAAGTCATCCAGCTTCTTCCACGTGATCAGTAGATGAACTACAAACCTGTAGAGGCATAAAACAGGAAACCATATTTGCTAGTAAAAAGTGGGTTTTTTAGAAGAGGATGGAATGTCTCAAATAATGCATCCTTAAGGTAGCAATGGCATGGACTCCTACCTGACCTCCCCATAGTAGTATTAGGTTCAGAGAGACTGGTAAGATTCCTTTTTCTTCCACGTTGATCAACACATTCCTGCATACTGTTTTGCTTAGGAGTTGCTTGCTACCACAAACCCGCTAGACAGGTGTTGAAGGTAGAGAATACTGTCCTAGACCCCAGAGACAGGCTACACCTTTCATGAAGGAACAACTGGATCTAGCTATTCAGTAATATGGTACACAAATGGCAACCACTTCCTTAGTTAATGAAGTGCTTTGAGAATGTGACAAGGGCAGCATGCTAAAGGCTTGACAGATACTCTTCCAAAAGCACAGGGCCAAACACCCATGCGTATACCTTATTTAGTTGCTGTGTTAAATATTTTAACCCTACTGCTTTATTTTACATGGTGAGTTTAAGCTTGCTCTTAAATACCACTAAAGTGTGTCAAGAGAATGCACAGTATTTGGGGGAAAACTAAAACCTCAAAGTCAGCTCGATAATGCACAGAGAGATCTTAGTTAATGTCAACTTAGACTTATTCCTTTGTAAGTCTTTGTTCATGACTACAGTTACACATGTTTTGCCTCTTTAAACAGTAAGCGCTTAAGGTTACACATTTATTTACAAGTAATTGAAAAATGTACAGTTTCTTACATGGGTTACTTGTGCAAAGTTGTACTCAACAGATCAATGTATACACAGAAGACACTGGAAGAGCAGACAAACACACTGATCAGTCTCCTCCCACACTGCTGCTTAAGGTATCCAAATGTACAAACTTAGCTTTACAAAAATGCTTTCTCAAAGATTGAACAACTTTGTAAAACTGAGAGGGGGGGAGAGAATGAAGCATGCAGCAAGTAGCACTTGTGAACTTCCTACTATTTTCAACAGAAAGCAAAGTGGTAGGGGCTAGTTATCCAATAACACATGTACGGATTAAAATCTTAAAAGCCAGTTTTTGAAATACTGTTTTCCTCTACACTCTCATCAGTAGCCAAATTATTTTCATTTGTAGTTAATTCATACCTCAATGTAGCCATACTCAAGGACACAATGTCAATTAGCAATATCCTTATGAGCCCTAGAGAAAGGATACATTGTACTTAACCTTGAATGTGTTATTACAGTGTTAGATCACTTTGCACATGACCCATAGAAGCTGAGAGCAACTCCCTCCCCCCATCTCATCTTGAAATGGAATCTGATTTTGCAATTGCAAATACTTTATCACATTGCTTAAGAAGAAAAAAATCCTGTAAAGAATCCGAAACAGCAGGAAAGTTAGTTCTTCACATAGTACTTACAGATGCAGTGAAGATGATACCAGCAGTTAAATGACCAGCCTGGACAGATCAGCACTTGAGTCATATTTAAAAATGTATATTGTATATAAACATCCCTTTTTTAAATCAAGCTACACGTAAGCATCACTGTGTATAACACAATTACAATTAAAAGCTTAGTGTACACTACAGAAATGCACAATACTGCCCTAAGACTGGAGATGGAATTCAGCCTCAGCAATTCTTTTACAAGTAACCCAAGTACAGTACATTTGACCTCAAAGGGGAGGGGAGGGGTGTTTTCTGATGTCCAAGGAGAAAGAAGCTTCAGCGAGGGTGGGTGGCAACAGACAACAGCTATTTTGCTTTCAAAGTAAATGCAGTGATGCTAGGAGGAGGAGGAGGAGGATGACTCAGACACTTCATACATATATTTTCCTCATCAGAGTGTTCATTTGCATCATCCAGGGTCAACAATCACGCCAACTCTGTTCTACTATTGCAGAAACCCGTTTTTCATATTCCCGCTTATTCTCTTGGTATAGTTGAGCTGCCTGGCTGTTTGCTGGACTGTTTGGATTAGGCTCATCCAGTAAAGACTGTTTGAAAAAGAAAAGATGGGTCAGACTTCATTAGAGGATTTTCCAAACAGGTTGGTTAGGGAAACTCAGAGGAACACTCAATAGCAACTGAAGCTGCGTATATAAATATCTCATACCTCAGATCCCTGTACCCTTTACTCAATACTGGTAGCTAAGTAGCATGTAGGCAGTCAGTCAGCATCCACTGCGCACACACACACAAGGTAAAACTAACTTGAGCACAATTCAGCCTTATGTTTGGATTAGGCTCTGTCACAGTAATGACTGTGTGTAAGGACCCAGTCCTTTGCAAGACTATGGCAAGGACATTAATGGAAGAACTACCTATTAGGCCACAAGTATTTTCTACTAAGTAGCTTATAATTTTAAAAAATGGTTACGAACTGCCACTCTGCTCATGGCAGGCAGTTAATCATACAATATAGGTGGACAGTTATGTTAGTTTGTAGTAACAGAACAAAATTTGAGTCCAATAGCACCTTTAAAGACCAACAACGTTTTCCAAGGTATTAGCTTTCATAGCAAAGCTCACTTCATCAGATACTTGACAATACCAGATATCTGCCAAGTGAGTATTGACTCACAAAACCTCGTGCCCAGGAACATTTTGTTGGTCTGTAAAGTGCTACTGGACTAAGATTTTGTTCTCATACAATATAGTTTCTATAGCCATGGTTTGTATATAAATAGAACCCAAACTGTACTGGCAAGTTATCAGTACTGCTGATGTTACCTGTATAGATGTTAAGATGGACGACACATCATAGGTAGGACTCCAACGATTCTGAAGAATATCCAGACATATACTACCATCTGCATAGACTACAAAAGGAAATTAATGGGTTTCATAACAAGATGCAATCACTAATTTTTTTATTGCCAGGTTCACATTTACAGCTCACTGTCAACATAGGATGCATAAACATCTAATATCACCCACACAGCATGTGCCTGAGAGCTTGGTCTGATTGCCACATAAGCTATAGAAAAGGCCCTGGAGATTTGTAAATTAACTTGCTTCTTTGTGACCTCAGGTATAATAACGAAGCTGGTCACATCACTGTATCCCAAGCAAGGATTAAGCAGCATGAACACATTTCCTTTGAAAGTTCTATGCCGGTAATTAAAATTTACCTTAAACCCAAGACAGGAATACTATTTAAACTAAAGCCTTTAACAGCTAATTTATGAAAATATTAGCAGAAAGAGAGCCACAGTGCTAATTTGTTCTTTCATTTGTGATCACAAAAGAATCCAGTATTTTACTGTAAGGCATCATGACAAGTTATATAGCTGAAATGTCAAAAGGAGATAAACGTTAAGGGCAATGATTATAGGCATCTCAAAACTGAGCTGAAGTATATTTAGACAAGTAAATCAAAGATGTTCTCTCTTAATATTAAGGAACTCTGCAGCTCAGAGAAGGCACTGCAGTGTAGCATTTAATACATGAGGAATTTAGCGACTAAGTGGAATGAGATTCTCAGGGAAATATGGTCATAAAAACCTTAAGAATCAGTATATCTGGTCCATTTCCTTCTATTATATTGTAGCTATTTACAAATCTTTGCATTTCAGATGGGCACATACCATTTGGATGAAACATTTTAGACACAAATCTAACAGTAGGTGGCTTGTTTGGATATTCTTCCATAAACTATTGTAAGCTTGAAAGTTCCTGCAATTGAGAGAAAAGTTCTAAGTACCTTTTTCACAGAGTGACTGTGCTTTGCAAGCATACTTTCCCTGTGCCCTGCTGATGATGGCTCTAAATGCAGAAGCTCCAAACCTACGAAGAATTCCCTTTAGATGACTGTCAAAGTCTGTCTTCCACAGCAGAGACCCAGGCACACTGGGAATTATCAGACCATGCACTGGGTGGAAAAGCCATTTCCTGTTTGCCCTAGTATTGGATAACAAGAGATACACTGCTCCTGAACATGGCGCTTCCACAGTTGGCCGAACAGTTTTGTACACAAAGTGATATGAACAAGTTATTTAGTGGAGGTTATTATTTACGTGGTAAGTTAATTTGCAAGCTCGTATTTCAGCCATTCATGGTCCTCCCATTTACCCATTCTTCTAATCTTTTCCAGAAATGAACTTGCAATTTGTCAAAGGGAAGGGAGAGAAGGAGGAGAGGGTATTCCCCCTCCCTCCCTCTCAGAGAAAGCAATTTACACTGAGGCCAGGGGGAAGGGTTTGTTCCCAACCAATAACCCAACAACTTCCTCCTGTAGCCATATCTGCCTGGAGACCAAGTAGTATTTATTAAACCTCATAAAAATCCACAGCACTCTGTTTCAATGGAGGTGAGAATGGCAGCCTAAATCACTGCTTCCATGTGCAAGCACACAGATGCAGTGGACAGATTAAAAACCTGCTAACCAGATCTTTTCCCAGAAAATATTGAAAAGCTGCACTTTTTACACATACTAACCTAGGAGCAAGTTCCATATTGGGACTGACTTCTGAGTAAAAATGCATAGCATCAGGTAGCACATTTCTAAGCATTTATATGCATATGGGCAGTAACATTACCTTCTTTAATAACAAAAATGAGATTATGACATTTTGATGTGGAATCCCAGGAGTGGTATGGATTACACCAACTTTATGCTCCACTTTACGGTAACCGGAGAATGGTATTTTTGAACACTTACCATCTTCAAAAGGGGTTCCCTCAGGCCTGAAAGAGGAGAAAGCATATCAGAATCTCACATGTAGTTATGATTTGCTGAACTGGCAGTTAGCATTTACAAGACATTCTGTTTATTGTCACCATCCCCAGCAAAGAAACAGAGCTAAGAATGACCGCTTCTATATAAGGGGCAGCTCAATCTTAAAAAGGACTACTCAAGGTTCAGTCACCTACTTCTACCCTACCACCACTGCTAATCTTCTTCCTATGCCCTGGCCCAGGGGCTATCCAGGACCAAAAGCAGGATAGACCTAGCCACACAATCACCATACCACTGTCTCTTGTTAAAGAGAGTAGTGCAGCTAGTTAGTGCAGCTGCTTAGCACATATGGTCTGCTAGTATTTCCTTCTAAGAGCAAGACATACTTGTAGCCTTTAAAGAGGCTACAGTACAATGGCAATGATCAGACAATGACGGCATTCACCATAAGTGACAAGATAAGTTCTCTAAATCAAGACAGGAATATTTTAGTTTCTCTTCTGAATACCACTATACAATGGAGTCCATGAGCACTTTCACCAAATTTGCAGACAGTCACTAACATCAGTGTACATGGCATTTTAGGGGGATAACATAAGCAATAAGACAGGTTCCTACACCAAGGCATGTACAGTAAATTCAGACAGAGTAAAAAACATAGAGGCAAGATTAACTGGAAGACCGTGTGCCAATGCAGCAGGTATATGCACGCAAGCTTAATTTCCACAAGGGATAAGCTGTGAAAGTAATATCCTTATAAGCCTGAAAGACAGACATTACCCAAGTGTTTCTAACTTATTAAGCAGAGCAGAAAACGGAGAGGAAAGTCTGTAGAGAGGATGGCATCACTGAGGCTCAGTGAAAGCATAACGTAATTTGTATCTCAGATTGAATTCTCAAAGCCGCTTACACAGAACATAATAAAACAATAAATGGAAAAGCTTTTAATAAGTTAACCCCCCTGCCAAAGACTACATGAAAGCATTTATAAATACAATAGTAAACAGAACCTTGAGTAGGAAAGAGCCACCCCCCTGGAACTTTGGTTCCTGAAGAACTACTTTCCTAAAGCTCAATAAAGAACTAGCTTGGCAGACCTCACTTCAGAGCACATTTCAACAAAAGGAGACAGTCACCAGTTCTTTAGATCCTCATTTCAGAAGGTAAGGACATTCTAAACAGGGCTTCCTTAAGCAACTGTAAGGCACACAGATACATTGGGGAGCATTAAAAACAAAACACATGGAACACACTGAAAATTTGAAATAGGAAGAGAGTCCCCAATAAAGAAAGATCAAACGAGGAGATGAGGGAAGAAAATTCCTCCACAAGCCTGAGGGAAGAAAATTGCTCTACAAGCCTGCCTTGGCAGGGAGGGTGCGGCATAAACCGAATAAATAAATAAATTGGAAAACCAGCATGGTGAACTGAGCCAGCATTATGCAATAATTAGGGTTGGATTAGAATGGGCAAGACCTTGGTTCAAATTACCATTTATCCTTGAAGCTCACGGAATAAATTTGGGCCAGTTACCCTCACTCCCAGCCTGAGCTATTTCGCAGGGCTGTTGTAAAACAGGAGGGGAGACTCATGTATGCCACCCTGAGCTCCTCAGAGGAAGGGCAGGATAAAAATAAGAGACAGAAAGACATCAGTGGCTTTCAAACTGTTCCCTAGAAATTTCTTAGGGGTTCTTCAATGGCAACATCAGCAATGACCGACAAGCTTCCTGAAAAACAATAATTTTTCCTTACAGTATGCAGCCTCAAGGGCCTGTCAGATGCTATCTAGGTATTTCTGAATATGCAGGAGTGGGTGAGCAATACTGAGGTCCAACCTGCTTTGGCTGTTGTGTAGATAAAAGTGGGACAACCCTACATGGACTGCCCTGACCTTCTTGCTAGAATAACAGGATATAGTTTTGATAATGAGATATGTTGGTAATTATAACTGAGAACACAGATAGATCTGGGTAATGAAAGAGACCTTTACTAGAGTAACAGCTTATGGCTCAGTGGTAAAGCAACTGCTTTGCACTGTACAAGTAAACACTATCCACAGTTCAGTGTTTAGCCTCTTTAGTTACAAACTCTCAGGTACAAGATATGAGAAAGGCCTCTCTCTGCCTTAGACCCTGGAAAGCCACTGCCAGTCAGAGAAGACAATGCTAAGCTAGACAGATGAATGCTACCCAGTATACAGAGCAACTTCATATGTTCAAGGGAATAAAGTTGCTTGTGGCACCTTTAAAGACAAAAACAAAATTATTGATCCAGAGATCTCCTTGTCAGATCCAGAAGCATTCAGTGGGTCAATCACAACCCACAAGAAAGCTGTATGCCTCTCTAGTAGGGAAACATGAGCTCCATTTTGTTTTTGTATATTTTTATATAGAAAAAGCAAAGATGACAGACAGCAGGCAAAAGAATGTAGAATGAGAAAGAGCAGGTCTAACGTTTCAAGTTACAGCTGCAAAGGTTCAAGAGAGCAGATGTGGACAGCTGCTATAGCATAACGGGCTTGGCTGTACATTAGGAAGCCCCTCGTCCATACCTCCCTTCAAGCTTACTATCTGGGCTAAGAACAGCCACTCTCCCCCCCCCTTGCACATCTGAAATATGGAAATAATACTGCCTCACAGAGCTGCTACAAATATTACGCCGCCGCCTGTGAAGCACTTTGCACACTTGAAAGAATATAAGTGTCTATCAGCAATAATATTAGGAAGGGTGAAGAGAAGACGTAGGAGGAAAGTGGACCAGCCTCCAATTCGGATCCTGTTTCTATCTCCGAGCAGCCTGAGCCAATTTCCCTCTCTACTTATAGCGTAATATGACTACCTCTACCTTGCCGGCCTATTGTGCTGTGACCTTTGTAACGCGGAGTTCTTCAAATACTTGAAAGTCCACACAATGCATCAAAACAATATACTTTGTGGGGAGAAAAGAAAAAGAGCAAAAGGAGGGTCAACTTGGCAGGGAGAAAGCCAGACTCACCCGAAGATGACCGCGTTCCAAACCATGATGTTGTTCTCGGAAGGGGCTCCGCTTACTCCAGCCGGGGGATCCTCCTGCAGTCTGTTTGTTGTTGTTTTTTTGGGCGGGGGGAAGGAACAAAAGAGAAAGAGTAGGTGGAAACAGGCCCAAAAGAGTCTCACTTTCCACCCAATGGGCGCAAACGACGTAACCCCCCCCCCGCTTTAGCTTCCGTCCCCGACTCTGCGCAAGTAGCGCAACCCCAAATCTTATGAGCGTGGCTCCGACGCTACGCCAATGGCGTAGCGCTCCCTCTACCGCCGCCATGTTGGATCGCCTCACCTCTCCCCCCCCCCCCCCGGGTTTCCTTCAGCTTTACCTTTTGAAGTCCCGCATGAGGCGCCTCCGGGCCGGCGTGGACATGACGGGGTTACCGGTTATAAATCACTCATACACCGAATCAGGGGACGCGGGACAGAAGGAGGCAAGAGAGGCGACTGGACTGACGAGACAGCGGCAGCTGCTTCCGAGAGAGGCGGCGGCTCCCATGCGATAGTGGGCGCTACCACTGCGCTTCACTAATAGGGGAGAGAACGAAAAATCATCCGGTGCCTTAACTACGGCGATGGTCGCGACTGCAGGGCGATACCAGGCTGAACTACCACAGTGATGTAGAAAAGGGGGAGCAACGACCGAGGCGGCCCCCGAGTCAGCCGAACCAACTGGGGCTGTACCACTATATAAACTACAGGGGGGGAGTAGGCGGTGCGTGCAAAAAAGGGGCCGATACCACTTTGGCTCAACAGAAAAAGACTCCGCCCTTAAGTACAGGGCGCATTAAAAGAAGCTTACGGGACAGTAGGCGAAAAGGCAAAGCAAGAATTCCGGACGGTACCAATGGCCGGCAGAAACGAGAGGGAGGGATAAAAGCCATCCCTGTGTTTAAAGGATGACAACACCGTCAAGGTTTCTTCTTGGCCTTTCGCTTCCTTATTGGTCGGCAAATGATGACAGCTGCTTTGGGCTGGGCCGGCTTTGGCATTACAACATTGCTTTGCAGGCAGCTCCTGTGGATGTAGACTGGGAAAGAAAATCCAGGGTGTTTCATGAGGGTTGCAGTGAAATCCTAGGCAAACTCATCTAAATGAACTGAAGCAAATGGGTTTAGATTGGAGTATAGGATTAATCAGGAGTCCAGTGTAATGTATTCTAGCAAAACGCTTGTAAGTCAATGCAGAGAACGCACCTACTTCCAACAGTTGTTTTCAGAGCCCAGGAGTCGCACTGGGCCCAGTGGCAGCAGTAGGTGTGCCCAGAGAGCCACGCTGGGTCCAGTGGTAGTGTAGCCCAGGAGCTGCAGTGGGTCCAGCAGTGGCAGAGCAGCGCAGGAGCCTTGCTGGGCCCAGTGGCAGCTGTGCAGCCCAGGAGCCAGACAGGGCATGCTGCCAGCAGCAGTGCCACTCAGGAATCATGCTGGGTGCAGGCCCAGCAGGAAAGTTGGGGGGAAGGAATCCCCTCCTGCAAGTTTCATGGGCCTACACTTGTTTCACCTAATGTATAGCAGACTGTATCCATTAGGCACATACATTTATAACAAAAGCTATAAACAAAAAGCAGGAGGAGGGAGACGCTAAAGAGTGCATGTCTGTTAAGTGCTGTCAAGTCTCATGGCCTCCAAATTAATGACCTCCAAAATGTCCTATCATTAACAGCGATTCTCAGGTATTGCAAACTGATGGTCGTGGGTTCCTTGACTGAGTCAATCCATCTCATGTTGAGTAGGGTTACCAGATGTCCTCTCTTTAGAGGACATGTCCTTGTTTTTTGGTGTCTGTTCTCTTTTGGGCTGTTTTTAAAAAACTGATAAAAATGTCCTCTTTTTGGGTTGGCAGATTAGGAATATTCCTAGTTAGCTGCAATTATCACAGTTTAAATAGTAAGGGTGTTAAGTCGTGCGCTTAACAAAGAGTCGGAGAGTGATTCAGCAAGAATTGCGGTTTATTCTTCAGCTCAGTTACTTCTCCGTTGCGGTACAACACTCGCCAGCCAGAACCCATCACAGATCAGACTTGTCGATATTTAAACACTCCCGGCTAATGTAGCCACACCCCCTGTACAGATAACAACCTATGAGGTTGAAGCAATAACGACCAATCACAAGCGATCCCGCTCTGCACGGTGATTGGTAGGCACTTTCTGGGCTAGGGCTCCTATTGGTTACATTAGGATCCTAGCCCAGGATGAAGCTCAACATGGCATCTCAATCAGGCGATTCACACATCAGTATTTACATTCAAGACTCTATGGCACAGTTCACATAGCAGTTATATATACAATTCAATACATAACAAATCCCTCCCCCCTAAGCGAAAACACTCATGAACAATCGTAATCGCTCAAGTAGGTGGGCACTCTGCGCACTCTCTGAGACCTGCGTGGCTGTGAAGGCTCAGCAGGCCTCCCCGCTTGGGGAACAGCATCAGGCTCGGGGACTA